TGGTGCAAACCCGGAGTCCAGTCCCCCACCCCCGGAGGAGAGAGGAGGGTAGAGGCTGCCCCAGCTGGTCCGGATGGGGAGGGGCACCAGGGACCCACCTCTGCCGGCTGCTTTGGGGGTCGGGAGGGTGGCGGCGGCGGCGGCGCTGACCATTTTCCTAGGGGAATCGGCAGCGTTGGGAAAAGCCGGACTGAAGGTTTAGGGCTTTGTGCACACGACTGGCTTAACGGTGCTTTTGTTCCCTCTGCCCCCACCCCCCAACCTTAGGCTGGTTTCTTCAGTTCACGGTGTGCTGGCCACCGGGTCAGGGATCGTCGTTATCTACTCCTGCAGAGACGTGATGACAGACAGGTACCGTCCAAGGCCCAGTGAAAGGGGTGCAGAGAACCGGGGACTTCAGTTTAATGGCTGGGGGCACCGGGTGTTTTATCAGCACATACTGTTGGGTGTTGATGGGGCGCTTCCTCGCTTACCTCTTTCCAGCAGAGGCAGCTTAGGAGAAAGCTCAGGGAAGACCCATGCTTGAGAATCACCTTCGAGTCTGGTTTCAGGTGTCAGGTTATAAAGACAGGCACACTGTGAGCGAAGAGTGAAAGTTATTCAGAATTGGATGTGTGCCTTTGGCCTCATTGAAAGGAGCTCACTGGTTTCCTCATTGAGGACTCACCAGCCAACATCTGTCCAGTACGGCTGCCAGTGCCTAGTGGCCCTGTGGCTTGGGATTTGGGCTACAAGGTCAGGAGTTCAAACCCACCAGCCAGCCCTGGTGAGATGAGAGACGCAGTTAAGGTTTACATACAGTCTCTGAAAATCTAGAGAGGCCACACCGTGATTTAGAATTGACTGCATGAAAGTGGAATTCTGAGAGAAAGAATTCAACCATCACCACCCTGTGCCTGACCAAAGCCGGGCTTGTGTTGCCTTTGGATTTGGGCAGAGAGGTTTGTGGTGCTTTCTGCAAACCGACTGGTCTGTGTTAAGAGCTCTCCGGCCAGAGGCAGGTCAGGAAATGTACACCTGCCTGCCGCCGTTCCCATGAAACAAATCATCAGTTAAGGCCAACTTGGTCTACATTGTGAGATTGTAGACCTGGACAATAGTGATGGTATTGTTTTTCTATTAGCCTCCCTCTGCCCCCCCTCCCGTCCCCCCCCAACGCCAATCTTCCTAGAAAGGATCCCCAGAGTGTAGTCAGGTTAAGTACTGAGCTGCTAGCAAGGTCAGCAGTTCAAACTCCTCATCCTCCCAGGGAGAAAGGTGAGCCCATCTGCTCCCATAAGGATGTACAGAAACCCGTCAACCCTTTATAGGGTCACTATGAGTCGAAACCCACTTGATGACAGTTCAGATTTTGATTGTTGTCCCTCTCGTTTTCTCCCCGATAAATTCTCCATGGGCAAAGGGGCCAGGGGAGCTTACTGGCCCTTCCTGAGGCTTTCCTCCTGCTGACTGACAAGTGTCCTGCTTATCACGTGCTGGGACCACAATGCCAGGGCATGCACCTCACTGCAGCCTGCACATGGTGCCTGGGGCTTACTCAGGATCAACCCCACCACCAGGCCTGCTGGGTCCTGTTCCCCTTCTCAGACAAAACCAGTTATGGGAGATGAACTGTCGATGCTGAGGGAACTCAGGTCCAGTGGCCTTGCTTGTATCCATCAACGGCTGTAAAAACACGTGCTGGGCAGTGTTCAATTTTTATCCTAATGAGTATGTTCTGATGCTGCCGCAGACCCCGTCCTCGCTCCTAGTTCATCAGGTCAAACTTCAAACCAGCTTTCCTTAAAGGATTAAAGTCAGAACCATGAGATCCTTCTAGCACCAGCTGGAGCTCACCTGAGCACAGCAGCAGGCTGGCCAAGACACCTTCAGAAAGGGTGATTGACCACACTTCACCTCTGTGTGTTATCTGCCTCGCGTGGATTGTGGCGACCAGAGCCTGGTTCCTCCGTAGATCCTCCCTTTGCAAATGGAGACCGCCACCACAATTCTGTGCCCTTGGCCTTCCTCTGCACAGACGCAGGAAAGGGGCCCGAGGGCATCTGGATTATCGAAACACAGGGGCTCATACTATGAATGCAAATATCTATTATCTTGTTGGATGCCCTTGTAAAGAGCAGTGTTTCTCAAAGTGGGTGATGCTGCCCCCTGGAGGTGGGGGTGGAATACTGGAATGACCAGGGAGGGCCCCAAAAGCAAATACCTATACTTTATCCTGAATTATGGAATACAGGACAAAAAAATTTTAAAGGCCAGGGGAATACTGAGTCATTTTTTTTCTTCCTAAAAAGGGGACAGTAGGCCAAATAAGTTTGGGAATCATTAGGTTAGAAGATTAAATGTAAAGAGCTAAACTGTGAAAATACAAAAAAGTCAAAAGGTGATCATTTATGTAATTTGGGGGTTTCTCTATCTCTCTCACACCCATCGAGTCGTTTCTGACCCATAGCGACCCTGTAGGACAGGGGAGAACTACCTCTGTGGGTTTCTGAGACTTAACTCTTTCTGGAAGTAGAAAACATACACTTTTTCCCTTGGAGCAGCTGGTGGTTTTGAACTGCTGACCTTGGTGGTTAGTGGCCCAAAGCATAACCACTACGCCACCAGGACTCTTCCTTTAGTTTGGGGGGGGTAGATGAACACTTGGCAGTTGGAAATACCTCAAATGTCTTCAGCTGTCTGCAGAATGTGGTAAGGAAGTCAAGGATTTCATCAGATTCTTTCAAAGGGCAAATGTCTCAACTTAAACACGTATGTGTTGTCGTGGGATGCCATTGACTTGGCCTGGTTCCTGTCAACTCTGTCTTATAGATGGCATTATTCCACAGAACTTTCTTACCTGTAATGTTTACCAAAGTGGGCGTTCTTCCACAGTGCCTCTGGGAGGTTCAAACCATCAACCTCAGGCTTAGCAGCTGATTGCAAACCTCTTGAGCTACCTGGGCCCCTTCACTTAGATTTAGATTGTGCTTTTTGACACTTAGGAGTGCCTGGGTAGTGCAGATGGTCCTAGCAGCCCTCGGGTACTCACGGAAAGGTTGGTGGTTCAAGTCTCAGAGGCCCACAGGAACTTCAGAAGAAAGGTCTGGCACTCCTGAGTGATCACAGCCATTCAAAAACATGAAAGCCAGGAGGTTGCCACGAATTGGAATGGGCTCAGTGACTGCCGGTTTGGTATGTGACTTTATCTTCCTAATCCTTACAGGGAAGCAACACAAGGGTGTTTATCCCCGTTGTCTAAGGAAATCTAAATCCTTGGCTACTGGCAGTTAAGAGTTTAATCCTGGGGGTGGTGGTAAGTGAGCTGACACCAGGGGCTCAAGTGGAAAGCGGGTGTCGTAAGAATGATGAAGTCAACATATGTACTAAAGTGCTGGACACAGATGACGTATGTACAGATTGTGATGAGTTGTATGAGCCCCTAATAAAATGATTATTTAATTAAAAAAAAAGAGTTTAATCCTGGGCTCTCCCTAATAGTTTCAAGTCTTCAAAGAATTCCACCTCCGAGCCACAATGTTTGATCCTAGAGAAAGGTACCCTTGCAAAATATTAAAACCCTATGATTCCCTTTGGAGGGAGAGCATTTAGTAGCTCTGTGAGGGTGCTTTTGCTTGGAGTTACTTTAAGAAAGCAGAGACCGTCCATAGGTGGACGGTAGAAAGAGTCTTGGATTTCTTCATCTCAGCGGAACTGGGCTAAATGAATTCATTTGCAGGGATGTTTGCCACTGCTGACATGTTTGGCGTGACACATATTTCATGGCTGATTCATTATTTCATTGTGTGGCGAGTGTGAACAGAAACTGGGTTGGCATTGGCTCTGGAGCGTGTTTCCAGCCCTGACTTCTGTGGGCTGGCTCCCTGGGATGATGTTCCCCTGAAACTGCGTCAAAAATACAGATGAGGGAGGCCGCTGAGGGTGGCTGGGGAGTGGAACCTGGAAGGAGTGGTGAGAACTGTAGACCCGAACTCTTCTTCTCAATGGAAAAATCTGCTAATTGAGTGAATCCAAGTCTTCCCTCCCCGGTACCTGATTTCAACTTGCTGGTGTTCCACATACACTTTTTATAGAATGCTGACCATTGTCTCCTGTTCCGCTACCATCATCAACTAGCGTCTTCATTGAGCAAGTGTTGCTCTGACTCCTTCGGAGAGGATTGGCACAGGCCATACAGACTTGATAGGTCGGTGAGACCACTGGCTTTGGTCTTAGCCTCTCTCCCGGCGCCCAAGGGCTGTGAACTTGTCCTGAAAGCCTGCCACAGTGAATGAGTGGGATTGGCAAAGGCAATGGCCAGGTTTGCTCCCCTGAGCGTGGGGCGAAAGATCCAGAGGAAAGGCATTGGTTCAAGGCGTTCCGGGAGCACACTCCCAGCCGTTGAGCAACCGAGGGCGTTAAACTGGAAATGTTAGATTTGGGATTCGGGACACCCTCCAAGCCAGTTTCTTGGTGGGGCTGTTGAATCATTTGTATTTCTAACTATATCAAAGTCATATCAGGACATGCCAGAAAGCCTATGACACACGAATAGCCAAGTCTGGCAGACAAGTGAAACGACAGAAGTCCCATCATGGCACAGTGCTGAGTGTCATCCCTGCTCTGTCCGTCGAGGCTTTCAAATGTGCCCGGGGAGACAGAGAAAGTTGTTCACGTGTCTTGCTGATGGGTGGCAGCATCTCCACGCAAGCCTCTGGGATACAGACTAAGCTGAAGGAAGTGCTTTTGAGTAGGGGTGGGTTTTGAGCATTCCTAATGGATGTTCATAATGATCTCATGGACCATTCCTATTTCTTTAAAAATCATTTTATTGAGGGCTCGTACAACTCATATCACAATCCATACATACGTCCATTGTGTCGAGCACATTTGTACATTTGTTGCCCTCATCATTCTCAAAACATTTGCTTTCTACTTGAGCCCTTGGTATCAGCTCCTCACTTTTCCCCCTCCCTCTCCCATCCTCCCTCCCTCATGAACCCTTGATAATTTATACATTTTTATTTTTTCATGTCTTACACTGTCTCCCTTCACCCACTTTTCTGTTGTCCATCACCTAGGAAGGGGGTTATATGTAGATCCTTGTGATGGGTTCCCCTTTTCTACCCTACCTTCCGCTTCCCCTCCTGGTATCACCACTCTCATTATTGGTCCTGAGGGGTTTATCTGTCCTGGATTCCCCGTGTTCCCAGTTCTTATCTGTACCAGAGTACATCCTGTGGTCTATCCAGATTTGTAAAGTAGAATTGGGATCATGATAGTGGGGGGGGGGTGAGGCATTAAAGAATTAGAGGAAAGTTGTATGTTTCATTATTGCTACACTGCCTGCACCCTGACTGGCTCGATCCTCCCCTCGATCCTTCTGAAAGGGGATGTCCAGTGGCCTAGAGTTGGGCTTTGGGTCCCCACTCCACACTCCCCTCATTCACAATGATGAGTTTTTTGTTCCTTGATGCCTGATATCTGATCCTATCGACCCATTCCTATTCTTTCAGGCACTGGCTTGCCCGAGAATACGTGTGGTTTTTGATTCCGTACATGCTGTATGACACCTACGCCATGTACCTCTGTGAATGGTACAAAATCAAGGAGGAGAACCGCAGACACTCCCTTGCCACGTTCCAAAGCTTCCTCATTAAGAACCGCCTGATGCTCACGCACCACGCGGTCATTCTGTTCGCCCTTGTGCCTGTTGCCCAGGTAAGGCCTCCGGGACCCTGCGGTCATGTGTTTGCTCCTGCTGACCATCACCTCTCGTTTTGCATCCTTTGCCACTGCACCCACTCTCCCTGTGCCAGCTGCTTCAGCAGCAAAGAGCGTAGAAGAAGCGTTAATGTCCACAGTCCTTCCTACCAACGTCGTTCTTTTCAGCAGGCCCACAGGCCTCTGTCCTTCCTCAGCATTTGTCAAAGGTCCTGCCTTTCATTCAGACAGTATGAAAACACGAGAAAATGCCCATATACTGCAGAACGATCGTTTTCCTTTTTTTTAAGATGAGGAAGTAGCACGCTCAGCTGGCTTTTGGCTGTAACAGTAGCAGAGAATCATCCGCAGTTCAATGCCATCGAAAGGAAAAGGGAAACATGCTCTCCAGCCAAGAGCTGCATGCTCTCTCCCCGATCCCTTTTCCCACGGAGACCCAGTCAACCACGAGAGAAGCTGGAATCAGAGAGGAAATTAATAATTTCGGAGTGTCTGCCACATGGCAGATCCTTGGTTTAAAAGCTCACAGCTTTCTAAATAGTAGACATGATTTGCCTTCTACCGTAGATGAAGGGCACAAACAGGTTAGTGTTCCACGACTGGCCTACAGGTTGGCAGGCTCAAATCCACACCGTGGCCCCATGGAAGGAAGCCCTGGCACGATAACAGCCAAGAGAACTAGCCTCTGGGGCAGTTCTGCTCCATAGCACACGAATCAGAGTCAACTGGACCACAGTGGGTTGAGTATTTTGGTTGATTTCATCGATCAACGGGACCTCTGGGGATTTCTCTCACTCAGTGATCCTAAGCGGCAGAGCTGGTTGCTCGACGGTACACTACATTCTCGAAAGAGACGAAGGAGGGACAGAAGGCCTTGAATTCTTCAAGAAGACTCTCTTGACTGTGTTGGGACACTGATGTCCAGCTCAGGGCCTGGCACATATGTCGTCGAACTGAAGTGGCCCAGAGCCCTGGCCTGACTGCCCAGGTTTGAGACCCAGACGAAGGCTACCAGGTTCCTTCAGGTTTCATTAAAACGCCTCCAAAGTGGTGCCTGAGGCCGTCAGTCTGTCTGGGTGTGCTTCTGCATCCCAGGGATCCGGCCGCCAGTGCTGCGGCTGGGCGAGCAGCAGAGCATTCGCTGGGTATCCACTTGTCCAGGCAGCGGCTCCTTTCCCGTCAGAGGAGCCCTGATGGCGCCGCGGTTATGCATTGGGCTGTGACCCGCCAGGCCAGCAGTTCAAAACCCGCCACCTGATCCGATGGGGGATGCTCCTCCCATCAAGAGCGATAGTCTCAAAATGTCACAGGGGTGGTTCTACCCGGTCCTATAGGGTTGCTGTGAGTCAGCATCAACTCCATGGCCGCGAGGTTTGTTGTCGTTTTGTGTCCTCCCGGTGGCCTTTCAGGGTTGCCTTTGTCAACAGCCCTCATTGGCATTTTCCTGCGTTTTCTTCACCTCCCTTTCTTCTTTCCCCCTCGCCCCTGCAGAGACTGAGGGGAGACCTGGGGGACTTCTTTGTTGGCTGCATCTTCACGGCGGAACTGAGCACTCCGTTTGTGTCGCTGGGCAGAGT